TATTACCGGCTTGTAGAGAACATATTTATACACATGAGATCCGCCTGATTCGTGTTCATACATATATGAAAGTATAAAGCCACAATTTTGATGTTTATGACCATGCTATAAATGCACAAACACCATATATTTATGTAATTGAACAAATGTGAGTTTGTCATCCTTGAATTCTACCAAACATGTTAATTTACACTTATGGTCCCTAAACTATAAGGAACTTGTCATTATGTTCATGACTGCTTAAATCTTAACAGTTGGTAATCAGGTCATTCCCTCCATCAAACACGAGATGCTAAGTAGTTGCGAAGTCTTGGTAAGTCACAGTCCTGGCCCTCAGATGAGTAGATGACCAACACTAGCAATAGCGGTGTAGTGGTTGAATGCAAAAAAAAAAAAAAAGGCAAAGTGTTATACAACCTGAACATGCATAATTATTTGTCTAGGTTGTGAGCTCACTAAGCATTTTGATCACCCATTATTGTTAACTGCTTTTCAATAATCTCTATTAAGGCAAAGATCAAGGTCTCAGGGTGATTTCTCAGGGCTCATGATCATGTTTTGAAATGGGACAATTGTTTGGTTTTATTATTCAATAAGCCTTTCATTGAGTGGGTGTTTTTAGACAATTTCAAATGTTAGGAATGATTATGAAACAAATAGTATTTTGTTAAATGATTTAGATATTCCTTTTATAATGAATAGTATTTCTATTAGGGTCGTGATATCTCCACTGGAGTAATTTATTCATCCACTTGATATCATATTATTTTGACATTTTTGCCCTTCTTTTTAATTTTCAAAAATATGAAAAAATTGAAAATATACCAAACGTCGTTTTCTTCATTAACCCTAGTCGTCATACAAGAAACTCCGATCACTTCTTCCAAGTCGCCGACCCTCCTTCGTAATCGGTCCCCGTTTTAAATCGATCCCTAGATACACGTTCAGTAAAACCGAGACCCATCCCCAATCGATGCTCCAACTGTGTGTGCAGGTTTCTATCCTAATCTCTGCTTCGTTTCTGGATGGCGTGAATGGACTGAATCCGAAATCATCTATACCCAAATCTTAACTAAACTTTCTTTTAGCCTTTTTTAAATCAGCAAATTTGAATACTTTCAGACTTGTAATAACACTGGTGAAAGCACCAACAATTCTACTGTTGGCATTGCTATTATCTGATAACTCTGAATCACCAGAGGCTGAAATGGATAAATACAAACTGATTATATATAATCACTATATTATCTCTTATATACAAGATGTGATTTTGTTCATAATCATTTCAATCAAATAAACATACATGTATGGTGATTATCAGAAAAACAAAGGGGGTTGTACATGGTGATTTGGTTGCTTGTTGCAGGTGTGATGGTGTTGGTGAAGGTGAAGCCAATGAAGAGGGAGCATGGGTGGCGATGATGATGGTAATGGCCTGAAGTGGAATTGTGATGATTGTTCATGTGTATGATGAGAGTTATGTTCAACTGGCTCAGTCAAGAAGACGATGGAGGCTGCGTGGGAATGGCGTGTGGCGTGAGATGATTGTGTTGGTGATGACAGTGTTCTTGGGAGAAGATGATGAACTTATCGTCGGCTATCAGCTGTTGGTTGATGGGGTGATGAGTGTTTGATGGCAGTTGGTGGAATGTAGAAGATGATCGGATGAAAGAGTGAACAAGAAATAGGGTCGTGCATATCTCAATGTTAGAACAGGGGGTTACAATGGTGGTTGTGATGGTGTTTTCCGGCGAAGATAAGGAGCAAATATAACCCATTTATCTCTTTCACATTAAATTAGCAATAAGGGCAAAAATATCATAACATTTTAATTTTAAGCGGACGCATAAAATAAAAAATTGGAAGTATCAACTCCCTTTCTATTAAGTTCATATTGTTTATATATATATATATATATATATATATATATATATATATATATATATATATATATATATATTTATATTTGGGTGTTATAGCTTAGTAAATTGATTATTTTACATATCTATTAGATTTGGTAGTGATATTCATTCGAGTCATACAACCGAGAAAAAAAAAAATTGAAGACATTGGGTTTGCCACCATGGTCTCTAATTAGCGGGGTGGCCCTATGTAACATTATGATCTTATCGTGACTAATAGGTAACATCATCATCCCATAAAATATACATGTATAACATATAAGTTTATGGTTAGTTGGCTTAAAATAAATTCTTCGATGGTTTTTGAATTTCGATCACAATGATTATTTTAAATATTAAATGATATTTCATTGTAATGTATTATACTTTTTAATAGAATGTTTTGTTCTTTATTAACATAATATACTTACTTGAAAAAAATCATCATAATAAAATAATTATTTGGATAACTTTTTTTATTGATTTGAAATATCAAATTAAGTTATATAGTTAACAATGCGTTTAATATTATTAGTAATTAAAAAGAATAGTCTTTTAACATTTGTTTAGTTGAACATTTTATTTCATTTTGATATTTTTTTTTATTTAAATTACCAAATTAAGTGTATTAGATTAACAATTCAAAAGGTTGTATAATTAAAAAAATAATGTTTTATATGGAGGAATATAATTAAATTGATAAATTAAGTATATTAGGTTGAAAGGTAAAACAGTTAGCATTAAAAATAAAATTATTTGGTTCTCATGTATAGTAGAGTAGAAGTTTGATAACTTTCAATATAAATACGTTTAATTACCATATAATTTGTTTATTTTAAAGTATGTTTAATTTGTAAACTTTAATTATTACAACTTAATAAGCTTTTTGAATAATTAATATTAATTATATAAACAAGTTTCAATGGATTTTTTTTATTCTTATTTTAAGTTCAATAAGAAACTCAATTATTAGTTAAATTAAATGTCATCTTTATTGATAATCTATTTTTTAGTTTAAAAATAATATAATTATTTTAAAACCTTAAAATCCTAAAAACTCAATTTAACAACATATTTATAATATTAAATATTTACCATATTTACCATCATTTAAAAGACTTTGTCGTATTAATTTGTTTGTAATATACATTCTATCTTAAATTATATTAAACTGATTTTTTTTTAAAAAATCAAAACTATTTAAAAGTTTAACTTTAATGTTAATTATTCAACAATCAGCCTAATATATATATATATATATATATATATATATATATATATAATATATATATATATATATATATATATATATATATATATATATATTAGAAAAGTTTTAGGCTCGTGCAAAGCACGATCCATGAAGGGTAATTTGGGTATTTCTTTTACCGTTATCTAAAGTATATTGTGCACATAACCAAAAAAGTAATAATACATTGCTATAAATGGGTGGATTTTCAAAAGTTAGAAGTCAGTTTAATGTGGACATGTTTTATGAGGGAATATTGATCATATAACTTAATAATATTATGCTTGTCTAGATCGCTTGTAGTAAAATAATGCCACAACAAGGACACTGACAATAAATTAAGGTGAAATAAGTGGAATTCCTTTAGTTTGTCGACGTATCTTAGGATAATCACCATGATATATAAAGATTCATGACATTCTTGGAAGGCAACATAGATCAAGATCCGAGATCCACATCTTACGGCTAAACCATTGATTTTTGACATTAATTGACCAAATAGAATAGAGAGTTTTTGACAGATATCCAATCATATTGCACAATCCAACTTATAGCCTCAAAACCTTTTTATGAAAACTTAAAAACCTCAGTTAAATCTTACATATCTACATTGTAATCCTTTTTGCCATACTTTGAATGCCTAATTCTAATATCCTAAAACATGATAAATGTCAAATAGTACAGATAGAACACAAATGTATAGTAAAATAAGAATATTGTATACTAAAAAGATCAACTACTTTTTAATACATGTGTATAAGATTTATGCCCTCATCAAAATATTGATAACCAGTGTAGATGCATCTTTACACTAGTGTTTGAATTTAAAATTCATCAATTACATATAAATATTCATAGTTGATGAATCTCAACATTTGTATGAATTTTAAATTCATCAACTACATATAAATCCTCATAACCATGTCAAAACTATCCTAACTTGAAAGAAGAAGAGTATTTGGTAAACACATGCCACAAACTATTTATAAATATTTATAGCTTCACTTTGTAACTGGGTTTTAAAGAACATATGATGTTTAATAACACATCGTTCTGCACTTCCTGTTTCAATTGATCAATTTTTCTTAGTGTGATGAATAAAATATTATGTTGGTCTTTTTTTCATAAAAATTGGTAGAAGCAATTTTTTTTTTGGATTGGCATTTCATCAAACTCCTCGTGGTCATCCCTATTGAAGAGCACTAGAGCACTGGTCCAGATTTTCAATCCTTCTTTCTTCCATAGCAGTTGACCCGAAATTTATCGTCACTTGCTTAAACTTAGGGTTAATTCTCAAAAATTACCGTCATAAGTTAAGAATTTAAGAATGAGTCCCAAGTTTTAGCCAGTGAAGAAAAAAGGATGGCTATGGATATTCAGAAACATACCAAAGAAAAAAGATATGTATCGATAAGCAGATTCGCTGACCACTGAGTGAAATCTGTAAGATTACTCATCCTTAGTGAGAGTGATTGTAATAATGTTTATTTTCCTTTGTTGTTTTCATTAACCAAGGAGAATTCTGCATTTCTACTTCTCATGGTCAACCCTTTCTACTTGTCGACAAATCAAATTTCATTTAAATACAACCAAAGGGCTCTAAGATTTTATTTCTAACGAAGAAGCTATCGTTTTATTGAACATTAAAGTACTTTTTTTTTGGCACTTGAGAAAAGCTGGTAACCTCAAAGGGACACAAGCCAAAACTATAAGGGTTAAAATACAAAATGGTGTTAGCTTGGTCTACTTCGTAATTAACAACATCTCAAGGGGTATTCTTGAACACTTGTAATTTCCCCAGAGCAGTTCAAACTTTAGAGTCCAACGAATCTCTCTCTCTCTCTCTCTCTCTCTCTCTCTCTCTCTCTCTCTCTCTCTCTCTCTCTCAAACACAGTGTTCATCAATGGCGACGAGTCTATGCATCATCTTCTGCATTCTCTTCATATCTTCATCATCTGCTCTTGATGAGAGTAAGTTCACCCTCTCTCTATGTTGCAAATTAGAATTATCTCCACTGTATTGCTTGCGGATAAATCCCTAAATTTACTGTAGGAGATGACTTAGATTTGATATTGTTTATGAACTTTACCTTTCCTATTTGCTTATTTCAAGGGCATGATCTAATTTAGAACCTCCAATTATTGGGATTTCATTGTTCCCAATCCGATTTCTCTGTTCTTGTGGTTAATTACGAAGAATTGCAATGTAGTTAGTAAATTCGAAGATTGAACCAATTCTTTTACGGATCTGATTTCTAAATCCCCGCTTAGTTTCGAACTTTACTTCATCTTTTTCTCGTTCTTCTTCTTGTTCTTGTTCTTTTTTCAATGTAGTACGATTAGTGTACATTACATTTAAGATCTGAAATACTAACAAACTGAATTCAACCAAGAGAAAAAAGTGCACTACCTAACATTTAAGATCTCATCGGAATAATTGGAATCATCTTGTTCCAAAATCGCCGAAATTAATACTCTTTTTCACATTCATCTAGATCACTAAATTTCTTACCTTTTATCTTCTATACTTTAAGAAATATATACATTAATTCAAAATGAGCATAGAAGTTGTATTTCTCGTTAACAGAAAACGTCACTAAAAACCCAGTCGACGAGCTAGTAGCCATAGTGAACATAAACAGAACATCCCACAAATCATCCTCCCTCACCAACAACCCCGACCTCGCATGCATAGCTCTCCAATACATCAAAGCCTACCAAGGAAAATGCGATGAAGTCGGTGGGCCCGACGCCAAAAAACCCGCCGAATCCGAATTCCCCGATACCTTCGCCCCCACCTGCGAAGTCGAAGTGGCCACACTCGCCCCCATCACACTCGCCCCCATCACAGGCCGTGTGCTCGGGTGCCAATCAAAATACATCAAACCCGATAAAGCGTTCACACAAATACTAACGATGAAGAGCACAAGTTTGAATATAATCTACAACACCACCCACACCGAGATTGGGGCGGCAGTCAGCGGCTCATATGGCGGTGGTCCGTATTTCTGGTGTCTTCTTTTTAGTAGCGGGAAATCGAATAGTAGCTTTGTGTTGGAAAGGGGTGAGGCTAAGATTACTAGGCCTGGTGTCTTTAGTGGTGCTAATGATGAGTGTAGTGGTGTGAATGGTTTGTCGGAAAATTTGAGTTTTTTGATGATTTTTGTTGGTGTTTTCGTTGCGGGATGTTATACAATTTTGGTATGAGTTTTCTTGAGTATTAAGTTTTGTTTTTTTTTGAAATTCCTTTGTATCTGTTCATTTATACGAGCTTAAAGATGTATTTGTACTAGTGTTGTTAGGTTGTGTATGTTATACTGGAGAAACGTTATTTGATTGAATGAAACTGTAGAAGCTTTTTACGTATGTTTTTTGTTGATAAGATGAGGAAGGATGTTACGTCTTTTACTCACGCAAGTATCTATCATCATGTCCGCTTTTTAGGAGAGGAAAAAGTTAAAAGTTTATCTTATTATTAGTGGTAAAAATCTAAGCCCAATGCACATTATGTTAATATAATCAACTTGTTAGGTTGTATGTTTGTCCATGTCTATTTTTCGTAACAGACTAGATGAGAATTTATAAGGAGGCATCAAATTCAAATCTAAGCATTAACTTCCTTAATTGATATTTATATTTTCTCATGTTGAACATGAGATTGGTTGTTGGGACACTTAAATGTAATGTTTCAGTTATATTATGATAAATAGTTTTAGATTATAAAATTGTTATAAGATAACGCCTCAAAAGTTTACAATTAATAACATGCCGAACTTTCCTTCTCAATTTGTATAGATCTTATTAAGTGTTTTGATACAAAATCATAAATTAAAGAATCTTTCATGTTGAACATGAGATTGGTTGGACCCTCTTTAATGTCACGTTGCAATTATTAAATGATAAATAATTTTAGATTTTAAAATTATTGTAAGATAATACGTGAAGTTCACAATTAGTAACATGTTGGTGTTCCTTCTCAATTTGTATAGTTTGGTAGAGGTGATTAATAGTTTTAATACAAAAACATAAATTAAAGAATTTTGCATGTTGAATGTGAGATTGGTTATTGGGATACTTAAAGAGTTGTTTCTTTTTTGTTTAGATCTTAAGTGGTGTATGGATAAATGGATTAATGGATAATGATGTTTCTACTCTAATTTCAATAAAATACCAAATGGATGGAGAGAAAATGCCATATTGATTTTATTCATAACACTGTATTAATCTGCACTCAAAAGAATAACATAAAATGAATATTTACATAAGAAAGTTAGGGCTAGGGTCACCTCAACCCTATAAGAACTAATAATAATATTACCCCCTTCCAACTAAAATAAAGGATAACATATATTTACATAAGAATGTTAGGGCTAGGGTCAGCTCAACCCTATAAAAACTAATAATAATATTATCCCTTTCCAACGTAAATAAAAAATAACATAAAAGGAATATTTACATAAGAAAACTAAGGCTAGGGTGAGCTCAAAACTTTAAGAACTAATAATAATATTAGCTCCTTTCAACATAAATAAAGTATAACATAAAAGGAATATTTACATAAGAAAGTTAGGGCTAGGGTGAGCTTAACCCTATAAGAACTAATAATAATATTACCCCCTTCTAACGTAAATAAAGAATAACATAAAAGAAATATTTACATAAGAAAGATAAGGCTAGGGTCAGCTCAACCCTATAAGAACTAGAAATAATATTACCCCTTTCCAACGTAAATAGGGAAATAAATAAGAAAAATCGTCACTTCCCCTCAAATTGGATTTGGATATCAATCATATCCAACTTGCTCTTCGTATTTTCAAATTTATTATTTGGAAGGGCATTGATGAAAACATTAACAACTTGAAAATCTGATGAAACATTCAACAACTCTGAAATTCGAGATTCTAAATAAAGTGGCGACCAATTCCCACATATTTGGTTATTGGCGAATTTAGAACCAAAAACCACGCAGTTTCTTATTTATATAACATTGAAACTGTAACATCTCATTTAAAATATAATAATTAAATAATAAACCCGAAACCCCGAGAAGCAATTATTATTATTATTATTATTATTATTATTATTATTATTATTATTATTATTATATGTTATTATAGTCCAAAATCAAATAATAATTATCGGAATGTTAGTTTTGGGGGTTAAAGAATAAATATCAGACTTAATTTGAAAGGATCTTGGATGGCTGGGGTTAAAAGGGTAAATTATGTGCCTAAGTTGAAAATAATTGGTCATGGAGGGGCCATATGGTAAGTATTCAGATTTGATATGTAATGATTTTCAGAAGGGAGGGTTTAGATTGTAAATTAAAGACTTAATTTGAGAAGAATAATGGAGGGATTGAAATTGTCAATATGGGCCAATGTTTGAGAGGGAGTGGGACTTATAACTAGGACTGTAAACGAACCAAATGAACACGAACAATGTCTTGTTCAGGTTCATTCGTTTAAGTTAGCCGAACAACAAACGAACACGAATAGATAAACGAACGAGATATTCTTGTTCATGTTCGTTCGTTTATCAAATTACCTTGTTCATGTTCGTTCGTTTATGTTCGTGAACATGCTAAACGAACATAAACGAACAAACATACACGAACAAAGATAAAAAAAAAAACACAATTGAACATAAACGAACATATAATATAGCAATATTATCAAAAATATATATATATATATATATATATATATATATATATATATATATAATATAAATGAATATAAATAAACTTAAACAAACGAACATCAACGAACGTAAACAAACATCATAAACGAACATTCACGAACATAAATGAACGAACGAGACCATTGTTCATGTTCGTTCATTTAACTTAACGAACGATAACTTTTGTTCGTGTTCGTTCATTTATTAAATAAACGAACATAAACGAACTTCCCGCCGAACAGTTCACGAACGGTTCGCCGAACGTTCAGTTCATTTACAGCCCTACTTATAACCTGTCACCTCCTCGTCCTAACCCTAAACCTAGCAACACACATCCAGCCGCCATCTTCTTCTCCCTTGTCCAGCCGCATCTCCCTTCGACTCCTTCCTGTTCCGATCAACCAAATGTCGACGGAGGACCTTGCTGATGGCAAGCACATCTCGTTCCACTGTTCCATTGCCGAATACAACCACACAACGTGGGTGTAGCTGTTGTTGGTGTTAATCCAAACTTAGTCAATCACATAATTATCCTTAGGGGTATTTTAGTCCTTCTTGTAGAGTTTGAATTAGTAAAGGCCATGTAGGCCACGTTTATTTTGCAGATATTTAGTATAGTTTAGATAGGTTTAGTTGGCTCATGTTTTATTGCTTTGACTAGGTAGAAGTTGTTCCCTTTAAAAGTGGAGTAGGAAGCTAGGTCGTGTATATATATTGTATGTTATGATACTGTATAAGAAGCAAGAGTTTAGAAAGATGTAGCCTACATATGTTTTGGGTTTGTTCACAGGGGCATGTTCCAACAACTGGTATCAGAGCTAACTAGGGAGGTAGGTTCTGATGGAACCTGTGGTGAATGGTTGTTGTCTATAGATATGTTTTTTTATGAAGATGTTGATGTGTTTGGGGAGGAAACCGAAGGGAAAAAGAAAGCAACTGAAGAGTGTGCGCTGCAATTGGTGATGATGTTTGAACCAGAAGAAACCAATAAAGATGATGAACCAGGTGGTGAATCCTGCGTCAGTGAAGGTTTATACCGGTGATGTTGTTCGATGAAGAAAATGCATTTGATGTCTTTGTGTGATGGTAGAGGATCGATGTCAGGCTAAACATAATAGAGGATGGGCTATTTTGTGAACCACAACTCCACAAGAGTTAGTGAGAGACGAACAAAGCTCTGTGTGAGCCTAGTTCAAAACCAAAAAATATGTGTGATTAAACTTGCTTCTGTGTGATGAATGAAAGAGTGTTGGAGATCAATCTATGAGAGTTTAAGGGTTTGAAAGAAAGTTGTGTGCAGAATCCAAGTTCTAGGTGAACCAAGAAGAAAGCAACATGTGTGGTGAAGCTAAACTGTGTGGTAAAGCAAGTCATCATGAAAAAGTGGATATGTGTGATCAGAAGACGAGAACAATGTTGATCTGTGTGATCAGAAGATGGGAACAATGTTCACCTGCAAGTATGTGTGGGTGGGTTGAAGGAAAGAAAAAAAAAAAGAGGATCAAACTAGACTGATGCTTGGCTATGATGTATTCCAGTTCTGCTGTGACATTAAAGGCTCACAGTGGTGTCGAATATTGAAGGTCTGGCTATGGTGTTTTGATCCCGGAGATGGCAGCAGACGGCTGTTGAGGAAGAAAACAAGCAGGATGAGAGGAATGAAAGCAGACAGCAAGTTTGATCACTCTAATTTGGTGGAAGAATGAAAGAAAGAAGCATGACTGAATGAGAAGCTTCAAGACTGGGTGGCAACTAGACCAAAGACCACCGAATACCGAAGGAGGTAAACAAGACCGATGGTTTACCTTAGAAAGAGAGACTGAGAGAAAGAGCGAAGTTTGATAGGAATAGTTTGGATTAAGGGGGAGAATGTTGGTGTTAATCCAAACTTAGTTAATAACCTAATTATCCTTAGGGGTATTTTAGTCCTTCTTGTAGAGTTTGAATTAGTAAAGGCCACGTAGGCCACGTTTATTTTGCAGATATTTAGTATAGTTTAGATAGGTTTAGTTGGCTCATGTTTTATTGCTTTGACTAGGTAGAAGTTGTTCCCTTTAAAAGTGGAGTGGGAAGCTAGGTCGTGTATATATATATTGTATGTTATGATACTGAATAAGAAGCAATAGTTTAGAAAGATGTAGCCTACGTATGTTTTGGGTTTGTTCACAGGGGCATGTTCCAACAGTTGTTGTCGTTTGTTGAGTGTCGTCATCTATGCTGGAATCTGGAGACCGACGACGTGGTTGTATCGCTGCAACCTTCTTTCTTCTCTTCTTACTATTAACCGTCGTGGTTACCGCTAACGTTGTTGATGTCGTCACCGTGTCCGAAAAAGACGTGAGGTGTTTCGCTGCCAGTCGCGTTTGTGTGTGCTTCAGCCCGTGTGACGCAAGCATGTGAGTGGGTTGTGGTTGTTGTTCGACTGTGAAGACTCGCTTGGCCAGAGAAGCCTCGTGAAGAGCCACCATGGCGGCCGACCATGGTGGTTGCCGCCGTTAACCGATGCTACTACCGCCAAGCTCAGC